GGAAACTATTTCTTGAATGAAAACTGTTATATGGAGACTATACGAAGACGTGGACCTGCTTACGAAATAGGATGTAGTACCCATTACGAACTTTAAATGTGAAATTTGATAAATTTTCGGTAATCATGAAAATACGGAATATCGAGAGGTACCGTTATATGGGGGTAATACGAAAACGTGGACCGTCATGACCTTTTTACGAACCTAACCTGCCTACTGGTAAACGATGGTCAATTCGTTCGAAAGATAGCGTGATTACAACAGACGGACATCGCTAGATCGTCTTAGAATTTTACGCTGGTCCATAATATATATACGCAGGGTCCATTATGAATATTTCGAGGAGTTACAAACGGAATGACAAAATTAATATACCCTTCACCATTCACTGGAGGGTATATTAATTTTGTCATTCCGTTTGTAACTCCTCGAAATATTTATAATAGACCCTACAAAGTATATATATTATGGAAAGAAGTTTTCTTATTTTCACAATATTTTTATGTTTCTAACCCGGATGAGGGGAAAAAGACCTTCACCGTGGCAGCCAATCATAAAAATCCATCCAAATACACTACCTGTGTTCGCCCATTGTTCATCTCGAAACAAAAAAGCATTTTTTCTTCTAAAAAAACCGTTACTTAAAGTCACAGAAAAAAAATGATTTAACGATACTGTCGTTGTAACTAAACAATTGTTAATAGTTTTTTCTTGTTGTAGTTAAACGACAAAAACAACAAAATACTCTAAACTACCTTGGCAAATAATTTTCTTTAACGGTTTTTCGGTTTGACAATCAACAGCAACACCAACAGATGCTGGAATGGTGGGTTACCCTTAGACAAGACAGTTAAGCATTGGAACGTTTTTTATTTCGTTTTGCGATTGCTGAGATAGGATTTGTAAGAGATATATTAGAAAAAAACAAAAACTTCAGAAAGACAAGTAAATAGTTTTGACAACAAGATGTAGCTGCTGCTGCTGTAACTCAGCCACCTGTCTTTGTTTTTAGTGGCAAATTGGAAAAATAAAACGAAACAAACTTGAAAATGCGACAAACCATGAAATATTGAAAAAAAAAATCAACACGACTTCCTTATTTTGCCTCACAAAGGTGTAGCATCCCCAATAACAATAAAAACAACAGCCAGCAACAACAAAAGAAGCAAAAAAAAAAACAAAACAAATGCTACTTTAAAAAGCTCATTTTGCAAATATTATTATCAGTGTTGTTGTCATTTTTTTCTATTTTCTTTTTTTTCTCTCTCTCCCTCTCTCTCTCATTTCTATGCAAATAACAAGTAATGAAGCCACGGCGTTGGGTGGCATGGCGGCATTGTTGGCTGGCTGCCTGGCTGTCCGCTAAATGTTAGCTGATTTGTAAAACAATTTGTTTTACATTTCTTTGAGTCTGTTTCTGCTTAACTATAATTCCATTGTTGGTCTCTGTGTGTTTGGGTAATGGGTGGAAAAATGGCCAGTAGAAAAAAAGAAAACTAACAAAAAATAACAACTCATAAATGATTTACATAATTTCTCTAATTTGTTATTGGTACCAATTTTCTTCTTCTTTTCAATTTTTGTTTTGTTTTCTGCGAATTTGTTTTCGTTTTTTTTTTTTTCATCTGTTGGAGACCGGAACCGGATGCCTTATGATTTGAACATCGCAGACCCCATAACCTTTAGAGTTTATTGGATCTTTGTTATGGTTTTCTTGTTCCCCATTCTCCCGCTCATTATGATTTAGCGGCCATTGTTTTTGAAGATGCTACAGAAAATGTGGAATGGCAGTTGAAGAGAAATTTACAACAATGTTGCGTTGAAAATGTTGGTTTTTTGGTGAGGAATGGAAGAGATGTCTTTGAAAATATTTTTAAATCCTCAGCCATAGGGCTCGGAGTGTATACAGAGAGAAATAAAAAAACTGCAATAAAGTCAAACGCCATAATTTTTACTTTTTTTTAAAAGATTTTATTGAATGAAAGCAAACAATGTCGGAAATAGCATCAAATTTTAGAATAAGTTTAGATTTGTTCGAATTGGTCACCTTTGGCACGAATTATGGCCTTCAAGCGGCCAGTGAAACCGTCACACGCTGACCGCATGTTGCGGCCTGTGGTATTTTGGCTAATTCCCGGCGAAGCGTTTGCTTGAGGTGATCGACACTTTGGATTTTTTTGAGTGCCAACCTTGCTTTCCAAAATACTCCAAACACAATAGTCGTCCAACGGATTGGCATCCGGAGATTTTGGTGGCCATTGTGGGCTGGAAATGAAGCGAGGAACCGCATTTTGTAAATATTCTTGGGTGGCGTGTGCTGAGTGCGAAGGTGGTCAGTTCTGTTGGTATGTCCAAGGTCTGCAGCCAAAATGTTTGCGTGTCCAAGGCCTTAATACACCCTCCAGAATATTTTCGCGATAATATTCGGCATTTTTTCTGATGCCACGTAATACGAGAGAAGAGCGACCATGGGCTGTTATGGCGGCCCACACCATCACCATGGTCGGCTCTTGAGTTCTGGTGGCCAACCGAATGTGCACATTCAGCATCAGTAAACACGATAATTTTGTTTGTTCGCAAACTGATAGGCAACTAATGTTTTCTCATCGGAGCCAAAAACTTAATTCGGCAGTTCACCGCTTTCGGCCAAGCGAAGCAACTCTTTAGCTTTCTGAGTCTATTTTCTTTCTGTTGCGGATGCGGTATAAGATTTTGCACTTTTTGGAATTTCAATGGCTTTACCCCGAGCTCATTTTTCAATATTTGCCAAATGGAATATGGCAATATGTTCAGCTCACGAGCCATTTTCGGTCTCATCGAAAAAATGATTTAAGACCCTAGGTTTCTTTGGACCAAATCCGTTTCAGGGCATTTGGAGTCGATCTAGCGATGTCTGTCCGTCCGTCTGTCTGGCTGGCTGGTGCGCATAATAACTCTCGAAGGGAGTATCCGATGTGATCCAAACTTTGTACATCGTAATATGATTTTCAAGCTTAGATCGAGATCGGAGCTGGGCAATATCGGCCCACACCTTCTGGTACCTCCCCTACAAAAAGTCGACATTTATAATTTACCGCGCAGAAAGGATAACCCGATTTTGCTCCAAATTTGCAAAAAAAAAAATGGAAAATATCGGTCGACTCTATCAAGTACCTCCCCCCAAAAGGGTCAAAATTTTGAATAACTATAATTTTTATAAAATGCGATGTAAGAGTCCGATTGTCTTCAAATTTTAAGGTCTGGTGCTAAACTGGAGTATATCGGTCCACTCCTTCTGGTACCTCCCCCACAAAAGTTCGAAATTGTCAAAGAAATTATTTTACTGCACAGAAAGAGAAACTATAATCCGATTTTGCTCCAACTTTGCAAATCCGAATATTTCCGTCAGTTCTAGGTCAGGTGCGAAAATGGACAATATCGGTCGACTCTGTCAAGTACCTCCCCCACAAAGGGTCAAAACTTTGAATTATTATAACGCTCATAAAATGTGTTGTCAGAGTCCGATTGTCTTCAAATTTCGCACATCTCAATAATTTTATTAACCCAAGGTCTGGTGTAAATATGGAATACATCGGTTCACACCTTCTGGCACCTCCCCCACAAAAGGTCGAAATTCTGAATATCTATGAAGCTAATAAAATACGAAATATACATCAGCTTCCATTCAGACTTGGCACATCTCAATATTTCCATCAACACAAGATCCGTTATAAAGATAGTAGAGATCGGTCCATTCCTTCTGGTACCTACTCCACAAAGGGTCAACATTTTGAATAACCAAAACGATCATAAAATCCGAAGGAAGCATCTGGATCTCTTCAAATTTTACACCTCACAATATTTTTATTAACCCAAGGTCTGGGATATATCGGTCCACAGCTTCCCGTACCTCCCCCACAAAGGGCGAAAATTTTGAACATTTATGAGGCTCATAAAACACGAAATTATCATCCGATTCCATTCAGACTTGGCACATCTCAATATTTCCATCAACTTAAGATCTGTTGTAAAGATGGTTGAGATCGGGTCATTCCTTCTGGTACCTCCCCCAAAAAAGGTTCAAAATTTCGAATAACCATAAAATCCGAAATAAGCATCCAATTCTCTTCAAATTCCACTCTTCCAAATTTTTTGCTAATACTGATCTGTTGTGAAGATGATACTACGAACCCCTTCTGGTACCTCACCCACAAAGTGTCACAATTTTCAATACTTATATCTGTCATAACTTGCAGAGCAATTCTGCGAATTTTCTAAAAATTACATCGCAATATTTATATAGGGCCGATACGAAATGTACAATATTAGTTTCTTTCCTTCGGAACCTACTCCAGAGAGGGTCAATAATTTGACTAATCAAATAACACAAGTCTAAATCGAAATAATCGAACTTGGGCTGAGGGTATACATATCTGTCTAGGAAAACTGACTGATACTTTTTTTTAACTGGTTTAAAGGCAATTTTGTTCAAGGACCCTTCTCATAGAGGACCAAAAGGTATTGTTAAGAAAGACCAGGAGGTCTATTCATAGAAGACCAAAAGGTCTGATCATTAAAACCATAAGGTCTTGTCATAGAAGATCAGAAGGTCTTTTCATTGAAGACCAACAAATTTTATAGATTTCTTAGATATTTATGCATTTTTTTAACATCCTGCTGACCGGAACATTGTGAATTTTTCAAGAATTTTTTGTCATAGACTCTGAAGAAATTATTATTTTTTGAGTAAATTTGACTCAAACAATTTTTTTCCGAATTTGAAAAAAGTAAAACCCTTTATCAAAACAAAAGACTTAAGACACGAACTTTAACCAAAAAGAACTCCCAACCCACATAAATTCCTCAAAATCTTACATAACTTGTTACGGAATTTTTTCTCTACAAATTTACAACAAATTTGTAGCTTGTCATCTGCCCTGACGACAACAAGCTGAATTAATTAAACTTTTTCATTATTTTTAATTTTTTTTCTCCTCTTCTTCTTTTCTCTTTTTTTGCAGATATATTTCAGGCCAACATGGAGACACGACAATCGGCTAAAGGAGCTCTTTACTTAGGTGGTAAGTAGTCATTTGCCATGGCAACACAGATGTGTTAATTTCTCTCCAGCCTCACACCATTCACTGGCTGTCATTAGAGGCACGCATGCGCAAGCAAGCCCGGCAGTCAGCCAGCAGGCCATCCAGCCAGGGGGACAGGTTTGCGTTTTTCAGGCACAAACTGAAATTGGGTGTTAGGTTGGAGTTTTTTCTTCTTCTTCTTTCTCAAATGGAAATATTCCCATGTGGAGAAAAAGAAAAAAAAAGACAGTGCCACAAACACGTGTGGCTTGCGAACATAGAGTCGTCATCATCATCATCACGTTTTGTCTTTGTCTACTCGTTTTCTCCTTCTTCGTCGTTTTCTGGGCCGCAACACGAAAGGCTAAAAGTCAAAATGTTGGATGGAATTGGATTTTTGGCAAAGTTATGGCAAGAAAACAGGTTAATAATAACAGACTCTGTGGAATGCCGCTGAGGGAGGAAGGGAGGAACATGGAAGCCACAATTATGAAATCATTGACCTTGACTTCAACACAACCTGGCCCACACATAGCAAAGGTTATGGTAACCGCAATGATGGTATATTTCTTATTACGAATGCCATGCAAATGGATGGCTAAGGAAATTTGAAACTTGAATTTTAAACCTCCCCCCTAAACTTCATACCCCGTCTCAATGAATGGCGCATTAAAATTTAATTTAATTGCAAAAAAATAATAATAATTGATATCAAATGTTTTAATATTTGCACACGCACATGTACCTCGTCTTCATGATTGTTTTTTTTATTTTTATTTATTGTTTAAAACAAAAGACTTAAGCCACGAACTTGAAGTTCACTTTGTTAAGACCTCCTGTCATCATCATCATCGAGAGAGAGAGAGAGAGAGAGAAACCAAAAACCTGATCCAAGCTATTTTTCATTGACATTTAAAAAGTGTTAACAGACAGCTTGACTCGAGAACAGAAATGAACACAAACCTGATAATAAGTCACGGGGTTCAGGGCACTTGAAATTATAATTTCAAGATCAAATAGAAAATAGAATTTAAGAAGAGAAAACACCAGAGGAGACCAGAAGCTCTTCTCATAGAAGAGCAGAAGCTCTTCTCATAGAAGACCAGAAGCTCTTCTCATAGAAGAGCAGAAGGTCTTCTTCGAATAGAAGACCAGAAGGTCTTCTTCCCATAGAAGACCAGAAGGTCTTCTTCGCATAGAAGACCAGAAGGTCTTCTTCGCATAGAAGACCATAAGGTCTTCGTATAGAGGACCAGAAGGTCTTCGTATAGAACACCAGAAGGTCTTCGTATAGAAGACCATAAGGTCTTCCTATAGAAGACCGGAAGGTCTTCTTTGCATAGAAGACCAGAAGGTCTTCCCATAGAAGATCCGGAGGTCTTCTCATAGAAGAGCAGAAGGTCTTCCTATTGAAGACCAGAAGGTCTTCCTATTGAAGACCAGAAGGTCTTCCTATAGAAGAGCAGAAGGTCTTCCTATAGAAGAGCAGAAGGTCTTCCTATAGAAGACCAGAAGGTCTTCCTATAGAAGACCAGAAGGTCTTCCTATAGAAGAGCAGAAGGTCTTCCTATAGAAGAGCAGAAGGTCTTCCTATAGAAGACCAGAAGGTCTTCGTATAGAAGACGAATATGTTTTCTCATGAAAGACAGAAGGTCTTCTCAGGGAAGACCAGAAAGTTTTATCATAGAAGACCGGAAGGTCTTCTTCGCATAGAAGGCCAGAAGGTCTTCTTCTCATAAAATACCAGAAGGCCTTCTTCGCATAGAGGACCACAAGGTGTTCGTATAGAAGTCCAGATGGTCTTCGTATTGAAGACCAGAAGGTCTTCGTATAGAAGACCAGAAGGTCTTCTCATAGAAGACCAGAAGGTCTTCTCATAGAAGAGCAGAAGCTCTTCGTATAGAGGAGCAGAAGGTCTTCGTATAAAGGAGCAGAAGCTCTTCGTATAGAGGAGCAGAAGCTCTTCGTATAGAAGAGCAGAAGGTCTTCCTATAGAAGAGCAGAAGGTCTTCCTATAGAAGAGCAGAAGGTCTTCCTATAGAAGACCAGAAGGTCTTCCTATAGAAGACCAGAAGGTCTTCCTATAGAAGACCAGAAGGTCTTCCTATAGAAGACCAGAAGGTCTTCCTATAGAAGACCAGAAGGTCTTCCTATAGAAGACCAGAAGGTCTTCCTATAGAAGACCAGAAGGTCTTCCTATAGAAGACCAGAAGGTCTTCCTATAGAAGACCAGAAGGTCTTCCTATAGAAGACCAGAAGGTCTTCCTATAGAAGACCAGAAGGTCTTCCTATAGAAGACCAGAAGGTCTTCCTATAGAAGACCAGAAGGTCTTCCTATAGAAGACCAGAAGGTCTTCCTATAGAAGACCAGAAGGTCTTCCTATAGAAGACCAGAAGGTCTTCTATAGAAGACCAGAAGGTCTTCCTATAGAAGACCAGAAGGTCTTCCTATAGAAGACCAGAAGGTCTTCCTATAGAAGACCAGAAGGTCTTCCTATAGAAGACCAGAAGGTCTTCCTATAGAAGACCAGAAGGTCTTCCTATAGAAGACCAGAAGGTCTTCCTATAGAAGACCAGAAGGTCTTCCTATAGAAGACCAGAAGGTCTTCCTATAGAAGACCAGAAGGTCTTCCTATAGAAGAGCATTAGGTCTTCCTATAGAAGAGCAGAAGGTCTTCCTATAGAAGAGCAGAAGGTCTTCCTATAGAAGAGCAGAAGGTCTTCCTATAGAAGAGCAGAAGGTCTTCCTATAGAAGAGCAGAAGGTCTTCCTATAGAAGAGCAGAAGGTCTTCCTATAGAAGAGCAGAAGGTCTTCCTAAAGAAGACCAGAAGGTCTTCCTATAGAAGACCAGAAGGTCTTCCTATAGAAGACCAGAAGGTCTTCCTATAGAAGACCAGAAGGTCTTCCTATAGAAGACCAGAAGGTCTTCCTATAGAAGAGCAGAAGGTCTTCCTATAGAAGAGCAGAAGGTCTTCCTATAGAAGACCAGAAGGTCTTCCTATAGAAGACCAGAAGGTCTTCCTATACAAGACCAGAAGGTCTTCGTATAGAAGACCAGAAGGTCTTCCTATAGAAGACCAGAAGGTCTTCCTATAGAAGACCAGAAGGTCTTCCTATAGAAGACCAGAAGGTCTTCCTATAGAAGACCAGAAGGTCTTCCTATAGAAGACCAGAAGGTCTTCCTATAGAAGAGCATTAGGTCTTCCTATAGAAGAGCAGAAGGTCTTCCTATAGAAGAGCAGAAGGTCTTCCTATAGAAGAGCAGAAGGTCTTCCTATAGAAGAGCAGAAGGTCTTCCTATAGAAGAGCAGAAGGTCTTCCTATAGAAGAGCAGAAGGTCTTCCTAAAGAAGACCAGAAGGTCTTCCTAAAGAAGACCAGAAGGTCTTCCTAAAGAAGACCAGAAGGTCTTCCTAAAGAAGACCAGAAGGTCTTCCTATAGAAGACCTATAGAAGAAACACTGTAATTGATATATTATTTATTTCTAACTCGAAGCTCTGCTCACCACATTTTCTTATCTTATTTAAGGTGGACCGTATTAAGAAGATCCCTGTTTAACAAATCTCTCTCATTTACACTAGGTAGCCCCGCTATTCTCTTTTATTATAAAAACATGTTCTCTTATCCGTGGAACAAATAACAATCCTCAAAATTACACTTCAGTTTATCAACTAATCTCTTTATCAGCTGATCAGGTATTAGGATAGTTCACATTCAACGATTTATCTTCAAATGATAACACAACTGTCAGACGAACAGTCAAATGTTGCCATGTTTTGATTGTAAATATTCAGATATTTGAAAATATGTATTCCCACAAAAACTGATGGGTGTGCGGATCCATCAATCAAAACTGACACATTGCCACTTAACGGAACTGACCAACTGGACAACACTTCATTTTAATACCATGCCATGTCAAACAGACGGGTCAAGCAGATATGGAGAAATTTGTGATAATCCAAATAGGATTATGAATCTGATAGCGACAGACAACAAATGTTTTACGGAATCATGACTTGTTTTTGGTGGTGTTTGGTATCTGACATTGATGATGCCTGGGGTCTTGTCTCGAGCTGGGTGCTGTGCTGTTTAACACAAAAGCTGAGCTGGTAATTAATCTTTTGCATCACGGCTCCCTGATCTTTGCAAACGCATTTATGGCTCACACGCACACACACACACACACTTGAAGTCATAGAATTATGCATATGGGTAACACTATTAGCCATTGTGGAGGTCAATTCGGTTATTAATTTGAATTACAATACAAATCGTCAGCATCAACTAATTTGTGTTGCTTCTTCTTTAATGGCCATCATAATGGACAACGCGGGGTTGCATTACAAATTACCAAAAAAAAAAAAACAAGATTAACTATGAACTTTATCCGCAGAGGAGGAGAGGGAGGGGGAGCAGGTACAAATAAAAATTATTACAAAATATTAACATACATTCATTTTAATTAAGAGAAGTAGACAAATTTTGCGCTAACACTACCTAATTACAGTGTGCGAAACAAATGCGGGGCAAAGCAAGTAGACCATATCGGCAAAATGAGTTGTGGGCTCAATGTTAGGGAGTAGAGTGCATAAAAAATTATTTATGAGAATGGAAGAAGAAATTCTCTAAAAACAAGTAAAAAAACCTGTAAGTTCGGCCGGACCGAACTTTGAATACCCTCCAACATTTGGGACGAATTTGGCAATTCTCAAAAACAATAAAATCCGTTAAAAACCAAATTAAATTAAATTAAAAAATTCTGTTAAAATCTTAGAAATCCCAGATGTAGCTGTTATATTAGTGTCCATCCGACGACATGGACCTGCATAGGTAAATTTTGTCATAAGACATTACAATATTCAAATGCGAAACTAAAAAAAATCGTTGAATAATGTCGCTAAAATCTTCCAAATACCGAATATCGGGAGGTACTGTTATATGGGGGCTATACGAGGACGTGGACCAGCACGGACAATTTTCTGTCATAGGCTGTAGTATCCATTACGAACTTCAAATACCAAATTTGAGACAATTCCGGTGAATAATGTCGATAAAATCATCAAAATACCGAATATCGGGAGGTACTGTTATATGGGGGCTATACGAAGACGTGGACTTGCACAGACAATTTTCTGTCTTAGACTGTAGTATCCATTTCGAACATCAAATACCAAATTTGAAAGAATTCCGGTAAATAATGTCGCTAAAATCATCAAAATACCGAATATTGGGAGGTACTGTTATATGGGAACCGCCATAGCAAAACGTGGACCTACATGGCCCATTTTCAATACCAAAAGTCCTGCAGACATAATATACATTTGAGCAAAATTTTATCAATCTACTTCATTTCGTTCGGAAGCTAGAGTGATTACCACAGACGGATAGACGGACAGATGGACGGACATCACTTAATCGAAATAGAATTTTATGCTGATCAAGAATATATATGCTTTGTGGGATCTAAAATGTATATTTCGAGGTGTTACCAACCTAATATACCCTCCATACTATGGTGGAGGGTATAAAAAGGAGATTTCCTAACCGCTTTCTAATGGGGACTAGTTCACATCCATAGATCGACAATTCCAAAAATGGCTAAAAAGCAAATGGCTCACTCTTTTGAGTTATAAATGACCGTAGTTGGACCAAACCCTATCCTGGTTTGTCCAGACAGGAGAGTTACGCCACTTGGTTCACTGAGTGAATCGATCATTCACTTCTCTTTCCTCAAGAGGATCTGCTAGCTCATTCATCTAGTTCCTTAGTTTATTTTAGTTCAGTCTTTTCTTTCGGCTCAATCGTTCCCTTTCATTCTATTGCCTTTTAACCTCAATTTTTGGTGCGATCCTTTCTCAGAGATTAACATATTCATACGAGTCATAAAATCCACTTAAAATAATGAGCCTAAGGGTGGAAATACATAAAGCGCATATTTGGCTGGCTAAAGTCATCGCCAAAGAGGTCAGCTGAAAATGTGCACCTTCGATTGGCCACCAGAACTCAAGCGCCGCCCATGGTGATGGTGTGGGCCGTTATAGCAGCCGATGATCGCTCTCCGCTCGTATTAATCAACCATGGCATCAAAATAAATGTCGAATATTATAGCGAAAATATTCAGGAGGATATATTAAAACCTTGGAAAAGCAAACATTTTGGCCGCAGATCGCATTCAGCGGGCGCCACCCAAGAATGGTTACAAAATTAGGTTCCTCGCTTCACTTCCAGCGCACAATGGCCACCAAAATCTCCATATACTAATCCGTTGGACTATTGTGTCTGGAGTATTTTTGAAAGCAAGGTTGGCACTACCAAAAATTACCAAAGTGTCGATCACCTCAATCGAAATACAGCAGAGCAACATCGGGGGCAGCGTGTGACGGTTTCATTGGCCGTTTGAAGGCCATAATTCGTGCCAAAGGTGACTGTACCAAATACTTTGCCCATACTTTTGAGTGCGTTTGAGGTGCTAGGAAAATCTGACAAGAAACAATAAATATTCTAAAATTACATATTTCCTAGCCGCCATAAAATATCACATGTGAACAATTCGGTGATATTGAGCACCGGCGCATACGATAATAAAGGTTATGACCCACACGCACAGATATCGATGCGCTCAGTAGATGTACAAGACCACTTGAATGAAATATCAAAGAGGCCCTGCAATGTTCTCCATTCAATATTAGAATAGATAAGAATAATTGTGTGGCTACGATTAGGTTAAGTTAGATTAGTTTCAGTAGTACTTAAGGAACATATTTTTAAATAAAAACTAGAATTGAATCAACAGCCAAACCAGTCGGTTGTATTCCTTTCTCACTAAACATTGCTCCAGTCGAGCCGAGTAGAGAATAGAGTTGATAATTGAAGAGGGAGATTGGATTCTATTGTAATTACTAAAAGCATTGTTGCTCCGCGCAGAATTCAGAATAGAATTGGCAATCGAAGAGGGAGATTGGATTCTATTCCCAATTACATAGATCCTTCAAGCCGTATCGAGAATTGAATCTACACCCCAGCCGGGCGGTTGTATTTTTTTCTCATCACCGAATACAGAATAGAGTTGACAATCGAAGAGGGAGATTCTGAAACATTGGTCCTTTGAGTCAGATCGAGAATTGAAACTACATCCAAAGAATAAGGTTGTTCTCTTTTTGCTCACATTTTATATTTGGTACTTCGAGCCAAACACTAGAGCATGGAGTTGATAATCGAAGAGGGAGATTGAATTTTATTCTCATTAACATTGGTCCAGTCGAGCCGGATAGAGAGTTGAATCTACACCCAAGCAAAGCGGTTGTATTCTTTCCTCATTACTTTTACATTGCTCCAGTCAAGCCGAATAGAGAATACAGTTGACAATCGAAGAGGGAGATTGGATTCTATTCTCAGTTACATAAATCCTTCAAGCCGTTTCGAGAATTGAATCTATACCCCAGCCGGGCGGTTGTATTAAGAATAGAGTTGACAATTGAAGAGAGAGATTGTACTCTATTCTCAAACATTGGTCCTTTGAGCCGAAATTGAAACAACAGTCAAACCATTAGGTTTGTTTTCTTTTCTCATAACCGATTAAAGAATAGACTTGACAATCGAAGAGGGAGATTGGACTCTATTCTTATTTACTCTGTTACCACTTCGAACAATTCTGAACTTATTCCAAATTTTGATGCTATTTCCGACCATTTTAGCTTACATTCAATAACATTTAAAAAAATTATGGCATTTTACTTTGTTGCCGGTTTTTTTTTTTATCAACATAATTTGACATTAATTTGCCCTGCCATGAAGCTAAGCTGCTTATGTAGTCACACCTTTAAGCCAGTTAAAAAAAGTCTTATATGTATTCTCACCTTTATGCTTAAGTGTGTTGAAGTTAAGGTGGGAATACATAAAGCGCTTATCTGGCTGGCTTCTTCGGAAATGAACAAAGAAGCCTAGGGCCAAAATCGAACTAAGTCAACCTAAAACTCCATCCGATGACTTAAGCCAGCCAAATTTGTTTTTTATGTATTTCCAGCCTTAAGGTGCACGGACATAAAAAGCTTGAAGTCATGGCTAGGCATATCAATGTCAAATTATAATGGAAAACGACGGCAGGATTTTACAGCGGCTCTGTAATCCTTTTATGAAAAGTCACAAAGTATGCCTAGCCAAGACTTCAAGCTTCTTATGTACTTGCACCTTTAGACTTGGGTAGTTCCGGAAAGAACTAGTTCGAATTAAATCTTCCACGAAAGAAACGATCGAAACTAGATCCAGTTCATTAGTTCATCCAGTTCAAAAGAACAATTAAGCGGAAAGTCTCAATGAAGCATATTCAATTATGGAACTATTTAGAACAAGGGAACTAGTTCCTTTTGAGGAAAGGAACGAGAAAACTCGATTCGCTTCCTCAACTACATTGCCCAGCTCTAAGTGGAAAGCACCTCAGGAAAATTAAAAAAAAAATAAAAGAAAATTCCAACGATTTTTCCTTGTTTCAAGAGAACGCAATTCTTGTGCGTGGAATGAGAGGATCTTGTAGGCTTCTAAGGGTAGAAATACATAAAGCGCATATTTGGCTGGCTTAAGTCATCTGCTGGCTTCGTCGTAGATGAACAAAGGAGTTTTAGGTTGACCTAGTTCGATTTTGGCCCTAGGCTCCATTGTTCATTTCCGAAGAAGCCAGCCAAATAAGCGCTTTATGTATTCCCAGCTTAATAGAACTTTGTCTCCTCTATAAGAACAGATTATTGTATCTGCCGCATCTTCTCTTCTACTACTCCACTTCCCTGTTTTTCATAATTAAATTTTGCAAAACTTGTCCAATATTTCATTAATCAAATAATTTTCGACACACTTTAACTGCCAAAAAGAAATAGCAGCAAAAACAAAAATAAAATTCTCCTCATGACCTTGACTCTCAGACTCATCGGCTAATGGTGATAATCCGATAACTTGACTTCTGCCAAGAATAGAACTTCACACCACGGGAGCGCATAGAGATGCTAAGAATGGCAAACGGTGAATGGATTAATGAATGGCTTAAATTAATGATGACTGGCAGCCAACGCTTAGAAAAATAAAATTATGTTCACGAAGTTAATTATCCATCAGATTGAGATGGGAAAGTCGAAGTCGGGACCTTTTGAGGAAATATTGGAGCTGAAAAAAATTAGGGTAAAAATACATAAAGAGCTTTTTTTGTGCCTGACATAAGTCTGGCTGGCTGGCTTTTTCGTAAAGGAACAAAGGAGCCAAAATCGAACTAAGTAAACCTAAAACTTCTTTGTCCCGCTACGAAGAAGCCAGTCGATGACTTAGGCTGGAAATACATAAAGCGCATATTTGGCTGGCTTAAGTCTTCGGCTGGCTTCTTCGTAATTGAACAAAGGAGTTTTAGGTTGACCTAGTTCGATTTTGGCCCTAGACTCCTTTGTTCATTTCGAAGAAGAAGCCAGCCAAATAAGCGCTTTATGTATTCCCAGCTTTATGCCACAGAGAAAAGCTCTTTAAGTACTTCCACCTTTAGAGCATTTTCAAAGGATTGCTTCCGATTTTTAAAAGTTGGCTCTTATTGACCTTGTCACCCACATCTGATTAAATGTCTTGACGAGATTTTACAACCTCACTAATTGTTCTCTTTTTTTTCTCTCCCTCTCTCTCTTCCTTTTTTCTTTCCAGCTTTTTTAGCTCTTGCTGTGCTATTAAATCTTGCAGTGGCTGATGCACGAGTAAGTATGACCGGTTTGTGGAGCAAAAGAAAATAATTAAAAATTAAAAAAAAAAAAAATTAAAATGCCATGTAGAAGTTGCGGTTTACTTCCGCATCGAAGCGGATCAAGAGAAGTTAGTGGAATAATTAAGGTGGGAATACATAAGGCTGGAAATACATTAAGCGCATATTAGGCTGGCTTAAGACATCGGCTGTCTTCTTCTTCGGAAATTGACAAAAGGAGCCTAGGGCCAAAATCGAACTAAGTCAACCTAAAACTCCCTTATTCTTCTACGAAGAAGCCAGCCGATGACTTAAGCCAGCCAAATAAGCGCATTATGCATTCCCACCTTTACCCGAGTGGGAGGCCGCTTTCTAGATAGAAGGTCACTCAAGTAGTCTTCCCGCTAAAAAGCCACTTTAGGGGTCTTTCCGATAAAAAGCCACTTATGGGGCCTTTAAGATAGAAGTCCACTTAAGTAGGCTTCCTGAAACAAGGCCTATCAAGAGCACTTTTACATACAGGGTCACTTAAATGCTCTTCTGGATAGAAGCTCATTCAATATTCTCTCAGATAAAAGGCCATTCAAGTGCTCTTTTAGATTGGGCGCCACTCAAATAAGCTTTTAGAAAGAAAGCCACTCACGTGATTCTATTGAAAGAATGTCATCGAAGTTCGCTCTTTTAGATAGGGCGCCACTCAAGTCCTCCTTTACATACAAGGCCTCTCAAATGGTCTTCTAGATAGCAGCTCATTCAATGGCCTTCCGGATAAAAATCTATTTAAGTACATCTTTAGATTGGGCGCCACTCATATGGGCTTTTAGAAGGAAGACCACTCGTGTGATTTTTTTGAAAGAACATCACCGAAAGTCGCTCTTTTAGATAGGGCACCACTCAAGTCCTACCAAGTGCTCCTTTAAATACAGGGCCTCTCAAATGGTCTTCTAGATAGAAGCTCATTCAATGGTCTCTCAAATAAAAGGCCATTCAAGTGCTCCTTTAGATTGGGCGCCACTTAAATGGCCTTTCAGAATGAAGACCACTCGTGTGATCCTTTTGAAAGAACATCACCGAAGCTCACCCTTTTAGATAGGGCGCCACTCAAGTGATCTTCCCGCTAGAATATCCTCTCTAATCCCCTCTCTCCCCTTTTTCCTCGCAGAGTCATATACCCGCCAGGGTTTTAGCCAAACAGACAGGAGCCACACAATTCGAAGAACACTACGAGACCCAGGCCGATTGTAATGAACACAAGCATAGCCTGCGAAAGCGGGCCTCCGATGAAGATGTAGACTACGAGGTGTATCAGGGTGTTGTGGGACGTCCCGGCATTGATTTTCCGATTTATCCAAGGATACCGAAGACCAGTTTCAGTTGTAGATCCTATGGTAATGGTTATTTTGCCGACATGGAAACCGATTGTCAGGTAAGAACCGCTTCTCTTAAGTTCCCACAAGGATAACGGATAATAATTCTCTTTTTTGTTCTCCCCCCCCCACTCCAGGTCTTTCACATTTGCGAAGAGGGCCGTAAAATCTCTTTCCTCTGCCCCAATGGCACCATTTTCCAACAGAGCGAACTGACCTGTGACTGGTGGTTCAAGGTAAACTGTTTGGGCTCCTCATCGTTCTATGGCGAGAGCAGTGAACTGTTGGGCAAACAAAGAGATCAACATCTGAAACCGGTTGTACCCGTTCAGGGTTTCAATATAGTAGGCGGTGGTTTGAATATTAAACCTCGAGTACCTGCTAAGGCCACCTCCCGTTCCAGGGAGGGCGTTGCCATTGATGCCGAGCCGGATAGTGCGGTGGGCAAGGGTGGTCGTATTGGTGCGGGTAACAGTGGTTCGGGAAGAAATGCTAATGGTAATGTTGGAAATTCACCGGCTCAACGTAAGGTTCCCTTGGGAAAGGACAAGTTTTCGGGTGGCCCAAGATCGGCTGACAATAATGACTATCCAAGTGGCAAGCGTGGTCCTGACGCTGGCGGTGATGGAAATCGTGGTCCCAGTGCCACGAATGAGAAATACAGAATCGGCAATGGAGGCCAGAGAGGTCCCGATGCCAGCAATGAGAAATATCACGATGGCCAGAGAGGTCCCGATGCCAGCAATGAGAAATATCACGATGGCTATGGCGGTCCTGATGCTAGCAATGAGAAATATCACGATGGCAGCAATGGTCCCAGTGCAGATAGCTATGGGGTGGGCAAAGATGGTCCTGAGAATGAGAACTACCGTTTGGGTGGTAAAGGCATAGATGGTCCCAGGGGTGACAGCTACAAGGTGGGCAAAGATGGTCCCAGCAATGATAATTATGGCAGTGGACCCAGCGGACCAAGTGGCGATAAATACAAGGTGGGCAAAGATGGCCCCAGCAACGATAATTATGGCAGTGGACCCAGCGGACCAAGTGGCGATAAATACAAGGTGGGTAAAGATGGCCCCAGCAGCGATAACTATCGCACTGGACACAGCGGACCAAGTTCCGACAAATACAAGGTGGGTAAAAATGGTCCGAGTGAAGATAAATACCAGGAAGGTTCCCATGTTTCCGGCGGTGATAAGTACAGAGAAGTTCCAAGTGGCAAAAATACCCCCCTTTCCGGTTCGAGTGGTTCTGGTAGCGGTGCAACCTATCCAAATTCCGCCAGCGGTGTTTTCGGCGCCACCAGTGCCAGCCAGGAGTATCCAAGCATTAACAAACCCGAAAGACGTATCGATTCCGCTGAAATGCCCTCCATCGAAAGTGTGGACTTCGAGGACCTGTCAAGTGAAAAATCCAAAACCGAAATAACCGTCATCAACAGCAACGACAACGACGATGAATCGCAAATCACGGCGGAGACAGCTTCCTTTGTCAGTGATCGTAATCGCAACAACTATGGTGGGGTAGAAAAGTCAAAGTTCGGCCAGACACCGGGTAAGGATTCCAAGGGTTCCAAGTCGGGAGATGAAGGCCGCAGCCGTGGTGCCGGAGATCGTGGCTCGCAGAGACATGGTTACACGGGTTTGAATGGCGAAACCACAGAAAAGGCCCGCAATGGCCAAAGAGGTAGTCAACGTTATGGTGTAGACAAGCCCAACCAGGATGCCAGCGCGGAGAAGACCAACAAGAAACACAAATATGCCGGAGGTGTGGAAACGAAGAAAGAGAAATTCCAGGTGGACAGTGGTGCGCCTCATCCCACACCATCCTATGTCTCGGGAACCTATACCACTGCCCGGCGTTTGGAATCGACACGTACCACACCCTTCTATACACCCACTGTACCCTCGGTGGCTGTGGTCAAGGGCAAAGGTGGCAGTGAGGCTAAGCTGAGAGAGAATACGGCCACCACTCCGACACCACATCGTTTTGGCAATCAAGGTTCGGGCGGCCTATTCTTGGAGGGAGAGAAGAAGGACTACTCCAAGACCACCAGCAGTAAAACTGCCCAGTTTACCGAAGCCACAACCCTGCGTTCCATTGTGATTGGCATGCGCCATGACTATGGCGCCCAAGAGTTGCCACGCAATCACAAGTACTATGAATCGGACATTGATTCGGTGGAATCCACAACTCCGGCCACCACCGGACCCACTTATCTTCCCAAATCCTCCTCATCACCTTCCTCCTCCTACTCCTCGTCGTCGTCGTCGTCGGGTTCCTCCAAATCTTCACAAGGCTCCAGTGGAGATAGTTTGTTGTTCGCCCCCGTCTCCGATTTGGAGGTTAATCGCAATGTCAATGAAATGCTCAAGACCATGGATGTGCTCAAACACAACTTCCAAGATGTCGAACTGATCAAACAATCTGGCAACTCGGGCAACAATAATCGCGAAGGTTTGGACATACCACCCTCCTCGGGACCAGATGCTTTGGTTTCGTTGGCCAAATATTTTGCCACCGAACAACATGACAATTCCACCGGACGTCACCAGCCCAACTCTTTGGGAGTGGGCGGTGGAGCAGCAGATGAGGGTAAGGACAAGAAGTTGGATCCGGCCAAGGGCAAGAGTGATACTCTCTCCACAACCATTATCAAAAAGGCTCCCACCACCACCACCTCCAATTCCTTGGCGCCCAAGGATAAACCCTCCGACACCACAGCCACATTGACCACCGAAAGTTCAGCCTCTGTGGCGCCCAATGCAGATGATATTGCCACCAGTTTGCTGAGCAATAAAACCGTAAAGAAATACAACAAGCTATTTGGTTTGGACAACTCCCAGGCCGAGGAAGTGGATGTAGACCTCAAACTGCGCACTGGTGTAACGGTGCAGAACAATGGCAAAGATACCCAGACGGTGGTCACCTCTTTCCCACAAATTGGACCCACCGATGCCACCATACGTAGCCTGGCCGAAAAGCCGGAATCTCGCAAGATAGCCCAAGTCTTTTCCAATGCCCTGAATGAGTATCTCAACGATCCGGTGAAGTTCCGCGATGAACTGCGTTCCCAGGCCAGGCCCACAGAGCCACCATTTGATAGCCGTTTTGTCAGTGTCACGGATCCAACGCTGTTCAATCATGGCACGGCCGCCACATACCTGCCCACAATGGCACCCACCACAAATCGCCCCTATTCCACCACCGAATCAAATTTGGCCTCAGACATTAACAGTCATCTGATAACCTCCACTGGATATCCAGATTCGGAACTCACTACAAATGTGTTTGATGCCACCACCTTTAAGTCATCCTCGGAACGCAAATCCAACCTAGAGTTCTCGGCTGAATTGGAGCCACCCAATTCCGATTCCGGAGAGGGTGAAGAGCTATTGCAGAGGGAGCACACTCAATCATTTGTAAAGAATAAAAACAACAACAACGAAAAATCCGGCAAGTTGAGCATCTCGGCAAAACCCCAAAAACCCTGGTCCTTTATCGAGGAAGATGATGTCTTGGATCCGCTGAAAATCAATGATGGTCTCATGAAGAAAACCACCACCTATCAACCCAAGACCCAAAGCAAATCATCCGCCCTGCTGGAAAGCCAGGGACGCAGCCATTCCTCGACGGCGGAACACATTGAGGGTAGGCAAAATGCCAAAATCCAGGCCGAGGATCCATGGGGTGATCTCTTCGAGTCCTATGACATTTCCAAGGAAAATCTGCCCGCCACCACAGGTCTGCAACGCATTGCCAATAAATTGTTTGGCGGTCTCAACGAAACCGAGGCCTTGCATCTGAAAAATGTCATGGCCGAGGCCGAACACAATCGTCAAATACTGCGACTCCTGCTGCTGCTCATCCAGACCTGTGACGATCACAATGGCAAGGCCTTGGAAAGATCACGCAAAAGCCTGCTGGGAGCTCTCATCTCCATGGATGGCAAACTGCAAAGCAAAGGTCATGTTCGCGGCCCCACTGTGACAACAACCGAAAAGCTGCCCATCACCACCTATCGTCGAACGGGAAGTGGTGAGGAGATAACCACCACAACTTTAAGTTCCACAGATCAGCCGGCCACCACAACCCTGGCATCGACGACCACGGATGCGGCCGGCAACAGTGCTGAGGCCACAACGAAATTTGCCATTATTGTTGATGATTTTGGTGGCGAGACGGCGGCCACAACCACCCCAGAGTCGGGTAGCTCGCCCGGCAGCCTAGATGCTGGCGGCAGTGCCGATAAACGGGCTCTGGAATTGCTAAAGTCACTTTATTCTCTGGCCTCAAAGTTTACAAGTAGACGGTAAATTGTTAAAGCTTCTTAGGCCTAGGGAAAGCTCTGTATTTTTGTTTTTCTGTAGACAAAAAGCTTCAAACACACGATTCCTAAAAAAACAGATAAAAACAAAAAAGCACGATTCCTCTAAAGCAGAGAAACCTAAAAAAACAAACAGTGTTGCCAGCATTAAATACTACTACTACAACTTAAACTTTATTGCAAAAGCTCAGAGCAAAGCTTTTCATATAAATCAAAAAAAAATATGTTAGTCAAAATTTTCTTTAAAACCAACCTATATTTTAACCTGAACCAACCCGCTTTCTTTTAAGGCTCAGAAACACAATTATTTCTTGGCTTAAATGCCTGCTTTTCAAAAAAGAAAAAAAAAACATTTAAAAAAAAATTCCAAAGCCACTTTGAAACTCTCTAACTCTGTTGCGCTCTGTAATTTGCCGTTCGAAAGGAGAGAGAGAGAGAGACGAAAACATAGTCAAAAAAAAAAAACCTTCAAAAACAAAATTCCAAAGCCTCTTTGAAACCCTGACTCCGTTGCGCTCTTTAATTTGCCCTTTGAAAAGCAAAAGAAAGAGAGAGAGAGAGAGAGAGAGAGAGACGAAGACACAGTAAAAAAAAAACAATTAAAAAACAAAATTCCAAAGCCTCTTTGAAACTCTGACTCCGTTGCGCTCTTTAATTTGCCCTTTGAAAAGCAAGAGAGCTCTCTCTCTCACGAAAACACAGTCGGTGCAAATGTCAAATAGTAAAGGAATGTCACGGCCGCTCCCAAATTTCTGACGCCGTTGCCTCTTTATAATTTAAGTTCGACGAAGCAATAAATTTTGATTCAGTTTCACACGGAAAAAGAATTAAGCGGTAATAATTAAAAATCAGGCGAACTGTCATTTGTCAAATTTGTTTATCTTTGGTACTGCGATTTTAGTCACAATAACGTATTTTGACAGCTAATCCAACAATCAGCTGTTTCACACCGAAAAAAAAATCAAGCGGTAAATATTTCAAAATCAGCCGAACTGTCACTTGTCAAATTTGTTTATATTTTGTACTGCGATTTTAGTCACAATAACGTATTTTGACAGCTAAACCGACAATCAGCTGTGATGAATGTAGTGGCCATGGGTTCTACACTTAGCTGATCATCGGCAAAGCTGTCAAAATACATTATTGTGATTGTGAAGTCATAGCACGAAAGATAAACAACTAACAAGAGAAAAGTCAAACAAATATTGACATTTGTTTTGATTTCGAACATCTGTTTATTGTGACATGATTGCTTCTCCTGCCATCTTGCCAAGACGGCGGCTGCTGATATCTCAAGTCGAGGGCGTTTGCCTCACACATTTAGGGTGAGAATACATAAAAGGCTTTTTTGACTGACTTATGTTATCTACAAAGAGGAACAAAGGAGTTTAAGGTTGACTTAGTTCGATTTTGGCCCCACGCTTCTTTGTTCTTTTCCGAAGAAGCCAGGCGACGACTTAATGTGGGAATACATAAAGCGCTTATTTGGCTGGCTTAAGTCATCGGCTGGCCTCTTCGTAGAGGAACAAAGGGGTTTTAGGTTGACTTAGTTCGATTTTGTCCTAGTCTTCTTTATCCATTTCCGAAGAAGCCAGTCGATGACTTAAGCCAAGCGCTTTATGTATTCCCACCTTTAAGCCAATCAAAAAAGCATTTTATGTATTCTAACCTTTAGCCGTTCTGAAAAGCCGTTTTCCTAGGCGTCTGCTGAACTGAAGGTGAGACAACATAGAAGGCTTTTTTGACTTTGGTTTAAGTCATCAGCTGGCTTCTTTGTAAAAGATCAAAGGAGTTTTAGCTAGACTTGAATTTCGGCCCGTAATTTATACTTGTTAAACCTACGCTCTTGTGTTCCTTTTCGAAGAAGTCAGTCGACAGAGCCTTCCATGTATTCTCACCCTTACTTTCGCTATTCGAGATTATCTGTTTTTCCGGGCCCTGAAATGCCATGCTTCCATTGTGTTTTCACCTTTAGAGCCTTGCAAAGTTTATATTTCCGGTTTTAAGGTGTGGATACATAAGCCGCTTGAAGTGCTCGCATGGCATATTTTGTGAAATATCCTAAAGGAATGCCTGAGCCACACTCAAAATATTGTCGTCGTTTCTCTTTATAATTTGACATTAATATGCCTAGCCATGATGCCAAGCTACTTATGTACCCTCACCTTTAGTTTTTAAGAAAGCGCAAGCTTGTCTTTCAAGATCCTCTCTTTTTGCATTTGACAGTCAAGAAGTCTTTCCCCTCTCCCCTAAAGAAAATAACAAAAACAATAAGTCAAAAATCACACTACTCAAATTCAAACACAATAGTTCTGCAAAAATGATAATTATTTTAGAGAGAGAATAGTCCAGCAAGTAACGTACGTAACGTAAATCCACAAAAATTCAGAAATCATGTGGCACAATTCTACTCAGATTCAATCAAAAGAGTTCTCCATAAATAACAATAATTTTAGCAAACAATCAGTCCAACAAGTAACGTACGTAACGTAAAGGGTAAAAATTCCACTAAAATTCAAGAACCAGGCATGAGAACACTTAGTGTCACAAATTTCACTCTATCCTCAGTGAATGTGCCAATTATCCATAAATCGCAATAATTTTTGTAAAAAATCAACCCAGTAGGTAACGTACATAACGTAAAAGGAAACAAAACTCCTCTGAAATTTGGGGCACAGGCTTGATAACTCTTCTCACATTCAGTCACAATAACTCCGCATAAATAACAACAAATTACGCAGAATATCAGATCAGCAAGTAACGTACGTAACGTAAATGATAAAAAATTCCACTTAAATTGAGCAGCCAGGCCTAATAACTCTACTCCGATTTAATAAGAATACTTAACCAATTTATATAAAGTCTAAATTTCAGTCAGTCAGCCAGTGTCAACACTTCAGTTAGTCATATTTAATATTGGCTAGATTCCAGCAGAGAAAATTCAGTTAGTTAAACTCGTAGCGTATGTGACGTATCGGTTTAAAGCCAAGCAGAAATAGAAACAATAAAAAGAAATTATTTCAAGAAATCTTAATTACTAAAAAATTAAGAGACGCAATGTCTTCCTTGAAGTCTAGATGGCAATATAGAACAACCAGTTGGTCAAACACGTAACGTACGTAACGTAAATTAAATATGTAAGGCAAAAAACGTTTAATAAAAACATTTGAGGTTTTAATTGAGATATTTAATCAAAAAATAATTTCATTATCCACTTTTAAAAATTCATTTTATTTCGCAAAACCTGTAAAACAAATGTCAACTCTTCAGTTAGTCAAATTCAACATTAGTTACGGGGACACGTAATGTAACGAAGAACAAAACCTTACAGAAAATCATTGAAGCACAGAAAGTCTGGATTCCAAGAGAGAATTACCAATTAGCTAAACTGGTAGCGTACGTAACGTAACATTCTCCAACAGAAAAGAAGAAAGAAAAAAAAAAACAAAGAAAAAAATTATATACAAAGGAATATTTTCAAGAAATCTTATTTTTTTTTTAAAAAATAGAAAAAATAGAGTCTAGGGCGCCATAGAAAACAAACTACTGGTCAAACACGTTACGTACGTAACGTAAATTATACTAAAACTGAAAATAAAATTAATGAAAATTAAAAAAATATATCTGGCATTGAAATTAGAAATCTTGATGTTAAAATTATCCGTGTTCGCCTTTTTTACAAGTCGGTAATTTGTATAATTAGTTGGCAACGTAACGTACGTATTCTAAAGCTGCTCAAAATTATATTAATTATCATATTTTCCCATAAAAAAATTAATTATTTCATATTTTCTTGAGTTGAGCAAAGTCCGCTGCGTAACATCTATGACGTAACGTACGTGACGTGAAGCTCCAGTTTACAGTTTAAAAGATTCAAATTAAAATTAATTAAAATTAAAAAAATATCTGCCATTGAAATAAGAAATCTTCCAGTCAAAATTATCCGTGTTCGTCTTTTTTACAACTCGGTAATTTGTATAATTAGTTGACAACATAACGTACGTATTCTAAAGCTGCTCAAAATTATTATTATTATTTTTTCCCATAAAAAAAATAAATATTTCATATTTTCTTGAGTTGAAAAAAGTCCTTTAGTCCGATGTGTAACGTCTGTGACATAACGTACGTGACGTGGAGCTCCTTTTTACCGTTTAAAAGATTCAAATTAAAATTAATGAAAATTAAAAAAATATTTGCCATTGAAATAAGAAATCTTGCTGTCAAACTGATCCATTTTTGCCTTTTTTAATAACTCGGTAATTTTTATAATTAGTTGGCAACGTAACGTACGTATTCCAAATCTTCTGAAATTTTATAAATTTTCATATTTTCCCATAAAAAAAATAAATATTTCATATTTTCTTGAGTCGAGAAAAGTCCTTTAGTCCGATGCGTAACGTACGTGACGTGAAGCTCCGGTTTGCAGTTTAAAAGATTCAAATTAAAATTAATGAAAAAAAATATCTGGCATTGAAATTAGAAATCTTGCTGTCAAAATGATACGTGTTCGTCTTTTTTACAACTCGGTAATTTGTATAATTAGTTGACAACGTAACGTACGTATTCTAAAGCTGCTCAAAATTTTGTAAATTATCATATTTTCCAATAAAAAAAAATAAATATTTCATATTTTCTTGAGTTGAGCAAAGTCCTTTAGTCCGCTGCGTAATGTCCGTGACGTAACGTATGTGACGTGAAGCTCATGTTAACAGTTTAAGACATTCTAAATTCTTTCAAAATTCTAAATTCTTCTAGAATATCGAATTAAAATTAATACAAATTGTTGGCACTTGAGTTGCTTGCATGACTAACTAATTAGTGCAACACGTAACGCATGAAAAGGAAGACAAGTAACCAAGAATTCTTAAAATTAAAGAAAATATCAAGGATATCAATTATCATATTTTCCCATAAAAAATAAATATTTCATATTTTCTTGAGTCGAGAAAAGTCCTTTAGTCCGATGCGTAACGTACGTGACGTGAAGCTCCTGTTTACAGTTTAAAAGATTCAAATTAAAATTAATGAAAAAAATATCTGGCATTGAAATAAGAAATCTTGCTGTCAAAATTATCCGTTTTCGTCTCTTTTACAACTCGGTAATTTGTATAATTAGTTGGCAACGTAACGTACGTATTCTAAAGCTGCTCAAAACTTTATAAATTATCAGAATTTCCCATAAAACATAAATATTTGATATTTTCTTGAGTTGAGCAAAGTCCTTTAGTGCATGCGTAACGTCTGTGACGTAACGTACGTGACGTGAAGATCCTTTTTACCGTTTAAAAGATTCAAATTAAAATTCTTCTAGGCTATCAGTTTAAAATAATACAAATTGTTGGTACATGAGTTGCTTGCATGACTGAGTAATTAGTGGAATACGTAACGCACGAAAAGGAAGACAAGTAACCAAGAATTCTTAAAATTAAAGAAAATATCAGGGATATCCTTTAGCGTACCAAAACAAATTGGGCGAGAAATACAATTTTTTGGCAATTAGTCTCATAATTAAGTAATTAGTGGAATACGTAACGCACGTCATGAAAGACAATAAATAGAAAAATGGTAACTCTGAACTCTGACAATTAAAGGAAACATTAGGGATTCCTTGACCGTAATGTACGTAACGTACGTAAAGTAAATTAAAATAAAAGGAAATATACAGGATATCCTTAAGCGTGCCAAAAAAAAAGAATTGAGCGATAAATACAATTTTTCGGTACTTCAGTTAGTCACATGATTGAGAAATTAGTGGAATATGTAATGCACGTAACGGAAGACAATAAATATCGAAAAATGGTAACTCTGAACTCTGACAATTAAAGGAAACATTAGGGATTCCTTGACATTAAACTGCGTACAATTAGTAAAGTACGTAACGTACGTTAAGTAGAGAACGTAACTTGATATTACGCAACGGATTTTAAATTGACAGGTCCTATACTTTCTGTATTTCCTAACTAAAATCTGAAAATCTGAGCGAAAAATACAATTTGTTGTCAATAAGTCCCATGATTGAGTAGTTAGTGGAACACGTAACGCACGTAACAGAATACAAGAAAAACAAAAAATAGCGACTTTGAACTCTGACAATTAAAGAAAACAAGGACGTACGTAAAGTAGAGAACGTAACATGATATTACGTAACGGATTTTAAATTGACAGCTCCTGTATTTCCTAACTTAAATCTGTAAAGTGTGATTTTGACTTATTTCCAGCACTTTTTGTCCCCTTTAACCACCAAATACCCCAAAATTTTCCGTTTTTTCTTCTTCTTTTTCGTTTTCTAACCTTGTTTAGACTTAATAATTACTATAATAATACAACGTTCGTTTTTTAGAATATTTAAAGAAATATTATGTTATAAGTATCACTGCCGTAACTTGTAAATATTGTCACTGGAGTTGAAGAAAGAAAGAAACAAAAAACAAACAAAACACACACACAAATGTTATAAATGATGTTGATGTCACAATTAAGTATTAGTTAATGAAATAAAACAAAAGAAAACAACAACAATGAAAACAACAATACTAAAATACTCATATTATATCAGTTTTTCCTTTTTTTAACGATAAGGGTTATTGGAAACTATTTCCCATCCATGTCCTTCCTAGCCTTCTTTTCGAACTAGCTATCTTTGACCTATAACAATTTTCTTCTTTCTTTTGACAAAATTTTTCTCCTCTCTTTTTAACTGTGTTTTATTTAATTTTCTCTTTGTGTAAATATTTATTATTATTTTTGTATCGATTTATATACTTATTATTACTATAGCCCCCCCCCCCCCCCAACTTTTGCCACATATTGTATGATTTTTTTATATATATATAAAAATATATATTTGTATATTATAATATTTAAATAAATAAATAAAAAATATAATAAAATTATTAAAAAATATAAAAAAGTTTTATTTTTATTTAAAATGGAATATTGGTTTTATTTTAGCAACAGGGAAAGGTAAACAAGTAAAAAAAGCTGTAAGTTCGGGCGGGCCGAACTTTGAGCACCCTCCACCATTTGGTAAAAAATTTGGCAATTTTCAAAAAAAAAATGAAATCCGTTAAAAATTCTGTTAAAATCTTAAAAATACCGAATGTAGCTGTTATATTAGGGTCTATACGACGACATGGACCTGTATAGATAGCTTTTGTCATAAGCCATTACAATATTCAAATGCGAAACTTAAAAAAAAAATCGGTGAATAATGGAGCTAAAATGATAAAAATACCGAATATAGGTTGGTATCTAGGGGGTTATAAAACGTGGACCCGCACAGACAATTTTCTGGCATAGGCTGTAGCATCCATTACAAACTTCAAATACCAAATTTGAAACAATTCCGGTGAATAATGTAGATGAAATCATCAAAACACCGAATACCGGGAGGTACCGTTATATGGGGGCTATACGAAGACGTGGACCCGCACAGACAATTGTCTGTCATAAGCTGTAGTACCCATTACGAACTTCAAATACCAAATTGTAAACTATTCCGGTAAATAATGTCGCTTAAATCATCAAAATACCGAATATCGGGTGGTGCCGTTATATGGGGGCTATACGAAGACGTGGAACTGCACAAACAATTTTCTGGCATAGGCTGTATTATCCATTACGAACTTCAAACGCCAAATTTGAAACAATTCCGGTGAATAATGTCGCTTAAATCGCCAAAATCCCGAAAAAAAGGAGGTACCATTATATGGGGGCTATACGAAGTCGTGGACCTGCACAGACAATTTTCTGTGTCATGCTGTAGTATCCATTGCGAACTTTAAATACAAAATTTGAAACAATTCCGGCAAATAATGTCGCTGAAATCACCAAAATACCGAATATCGGGAGGTACCGTTATATGGAGGCTATACAAAGACGTGGACCTGCAGAGACAATTTTTTGTCATAGGCTGTAGTATTCATTGCAAACTTCAAATGCCAAACTTGAAACAATTCGGGTGAATAATGTTGCTTAAATAATCAAAATACCGAATATCGGGAGGTACCATTATATGGGGGCTATACGAAGACGTGGACCTTCATGGCCCATTTTCTGTTTTATGCTGTAGTATCCATTACGAACTTCAAATGCCAAATTTGAAATAATTCCGGTAAAAAATGTCGTTAAAATCATCAAATTAGCGAATATCGGGAGTTACCGTTATATGGAGGCTATACGAAGACGTGGACCTGCACGGACAATTTTCTGTCATAGGCTGTAGTATCAATTACGAACTTCAACTACCAAATTTGAAACAATTCCGGTGCATAATGTCGCTGAAATCACCAAAATACCGAATATCGGGAGGTACCGTTATATGGAGGCTATACGAAGACGTGGACCTACATCATCCATTTTCAATACCAAAAGTCCTGTAGACATAATATACATTCAAGTAAAATTTTATCAACCTACTTCATTTCGTTCGGAAGCTAGAGTGATTTCCACAGACGGACGGACGTTGCTAAGTCGACATAGCGACATTATGCACCGGAATTGTTTCAAATTTGGTGTTTGAAGTTCGAAATGGGTGATTCAGGCTATGGCAAACATTTTTGAATGTAGGTCCACGTCTTCGTATAGGCTCCATATAATGGTACCTCCCTTTTTTGTCGGGAATTTGGTTATTTGAGAGACATTATTCACCCGAATTGTTTCATGTTTGGTAGTTGAAGTTCGTAATTGATACTACAGCCTATGACAAGAATATATATACTTTGTGGGTTCTAAAATGTATATTTCGAGGTGTTACAAACGGAATGACAAACTTAATATACCCTCCATACTATGGTGGAGGGTATAAAAATGACCTCAGGCCACTCAATTAGTCTATTCATTTAAGGAATTCCCGTTAGAATAGATGGCAGCTCTTGAGGTGATCGACACTTTGGTATTTTTTTAGTGCCAACCTTGCTTTCCAAAATACTCCAGACACAATAGACCAACAGATTGGAATCCGGAGATTTTGGTGGCCATTGTGCGCTGTGCGAAATGAAGCGCAGAACCTCATTTTGTAACTATACATGGGGGGTGCATGCTGAGTGCTATGGTGCTGAGTTCTGTTGGATTGTCCAAGGTCTGCGGCCAAAATGTTTGTGTGCCCAAGGCTTTAATACACCCTGTAGAATATTTTCGCGTTAGTACTCGCCATTTATTCTGATGCCACAGTCGATTAACACGAGCAGAGAGCGATCATCGGCTGTTTAAGGCGGCCCACACCATCACTATGGCCGGCGCTTGAGTTCTGATGGCCAACATAAGGTGCACATTTTCAGCTGACCTCTTTGGCAAGTTAACACGATAATTTTGTTTGTTTATAAACTTCTGGACAACGAATGTTTTCTCATCGGAGAAAACCAAATTCGGCAGCTCACCACTTTCGGTCCAAGTCCAAGCGAAGCAATTCTTTAGCCCTTTTGCGTCTATTTTCATACTATTGCGGTGCGGTATAAGTTCTTGCACTTTTTGCAATTTCAATGGCTTTACCCCGAGCTCATTTTTCAATATTTGCCGAATGGAATATTGCGATGTGTTCAGCTCACGAGTCATTATTCGGCCACTGCGACGCCGGTTTCGATCAAGTCGCTTCTTTACTTTTCGAACCCTTTCTGCTGATGCTGTTGCTGTTTCCTTCCGTTTACTTCCACTTCCGTCCTTGAAGTCGGGCTACACTACCAGTATAACCAGGTAGCGAGCGATGGTACGAGACACAAAACATTTATTCACATTTTAAATGCTGGAGTGCTCTATCAATAGCCACTTGTGATTTTCCAGCCAAATATAAAGAAATCAGCGTATCACGCTTGAATTCCGTCACGAATAACTTTTTTCCGGAAAATTCTGACCAAAAAGCTTTTGTACGCTTGTAAACAATATAATGAGCTGTTACTGGAATAATTTTAACAGCTGTCGGACGAGTGGCTTGGAAACGACAGCAGTCTGAAGTTGGTTGCAGTTTTTTCATCTCACCCTTTATACGGAGAAGTAGCAACCAAAAATTTCGAGAATCAAAGCAAAATACCTGAAAAAGTTCATAAATCCACTCAATAACTTCCGATGACCTTCTGAACGCATAATATATGTATATGGTCTTCTATACCAAGAAAAAATCTTCTACCCTCAGAAAGCCTAAAGAAGGTATTCTATGCCTAAAATGCTTGCAGAATACTTCCTATTCACAAAATGAAATTTTACCTAAAAAACCAAGAAAAGACCTTCTGTCCCCAGCAGAGCTTTACAAAGTCTACGATCTCCAGAAACCCTGTATGTAGGCTTTGATTTTCAGAAGTCCATCAGAAGGTCTTCTGCCCAAATGGATATTGGCTATGGCAGTTTTGTCATCCATTGAAGACCAATCTGAAAAGCTTAAAATAAATTCTCCTGAAGGTATTTTATCCTTAAAAGAAGGCACTTTATCTAAAAAAACCTGCAAAAGACCTTCTGTCGCCAACAGACCTTAGCAAAGCATCTGATCTCCAGAAACCCTGTAGATAGACTTTGATTTTCAGAAGTCCATCAGAAGGTCTTTTCCTGGTCAAATAGAAATGGCCTATGGAAGTTTTGTTATCAATTGAAGGCCAATGTAATATGTAATCCTATTGAAGACCTTCTATCTATCTCCAGAAAGTCTGTGAACCCCAAAAGACGTCCGAAAAGTTTCCAATCTATCGGTAGAGGTTTGTAATGTGACCGCTACATTTCCGGTTGCCAACTAAAGTTACTACAACCCATCATTCCTGGTAGCAACAAAGGTAAATAATTCTCAATGATGTCGAAGAGTTGAACGGATAAGAAGTTACGCTTTTATTTCCGAAAGTCGTCAAGTGCTGACATAGGACGATAAACGAAAAGTCGTGTTGCATTGTCCGCAGTCGTATCCGTGAACATCCAACCTAAAACTAAGCTTCGGCACCGCGATTCGTTTGCTCCCTGCGATTCGTTAGCTTCCAGCGATCAGTTCGCTTGCCGCGATTCGTTCGCTTCCTGCCATTCATTCGCTTCCTGCGATTCGTCCGCCTCCAGCTATCCGTTTGATACCCTGCGATTCGTTCGCTTCCTGCGATTAGTTTGCTGTCGTCACCTTATCCGCTACGAACACAAACGAGCTGAGAAAGACTTAGCCAATCCGCCTACCGCGAACCAAGAGCATATCCGTTCATCACCGTGCTACTGGTAGCGTAGCCTGATGGAAGAAAACAGCAACATCAGCAGAAATGCTTCGAAAAGTAAAGAAGCGACTTGATCGAAACTCGCGTCGCATCGGCGGAAAAATGGCTCGTGAGCTGACATATCGCAATATTCCATTCGACAAATAATAAAAAATGAGCTCGGGGTAAAGCCATTGAAATTCCAAAAAGTGCAAGAACTTACACCGCAACAGAAA